ATTAAAATTTATGGCGTTTTACTTTGTTGTAGTTTTTTTATCTCACCCTGTATATCTGACGTGGTTTCTTAAAAAATCAACGACTTCAATCTGGTGGCCCCTTGAAAATTTATAATTTACAGCTTTGGTAGTATCTTAGGTGGTCTGTTGCCCCTTCAAAAACAAGTCAACGAATATAAAGGTGGTACATTAGCACCAGTGGTTCATAAAACAAATTCAACGATTAAATCGACAAATCAATTATAGCTCTGGGGACACTCTAATGATTGACGATTATGGCCCTTGTGGTCCTTGAAAAAAATTGTTGATCATAGCTCTAGTAATATATCATCAACTATAGTCTTATGGTTCTGTTTATAAAATATTTTTTTATTCCTTCCACCATACTATGGAGGGTATATTAATTTTGTCATTCCGTTTGTAACTCCTCGAAATACTCATGTCAGACCCAACAAAGTATATATATATATATATATATATATATTCTTGATCAGCGTAAAATTCTATTTAGCCATGTCCGTCTGTGTGTCTGTCTGCCTGTTGTAATCACGCTATCTTTCGAACTAATTGAGATAGAAGGCTAAAATTTTGCACACATGTATATTTTGCCAGTAGGCAGGTTAAGTTCGTAAATGGCCCATGTAGGTTCAAGTTGTCATATAGCCCCCATATAACGGTACCTCCCGATATTCGGTATTTTGACGATTTTAGCGACATTATTTAACGGAATCGTTCCAAATTTGGTATTTGAAGTTCGTAATAGATACTGCAGCATAAAACAGAAAATGTGTCATGTAGGTCCACGTCTTCGTATAGCCCCCATATACCGTGACCCCACCCCAATATTCGGTATTTTGATGATTTTAGCTACATTATAAACAGATTTTACTTCAAGTTTCGCATTTAAATATTGTAATAATTTATGACAAAAGTTGCCTATGCAGGTCTACGTCGTCGTATAGGCATTCGGTATTTTTAAGATTTTAACAGAATTTTTAACGGATTTTTTTTTTGTAAATTGCCAAATTTGTACCCAATGGTGGAGGGTATTAAACGTTCGGCGCGGCCCAACTTACAGCTTTTTTACTTGTTTTTAAATAATACAATTACAAACCCATATTTCAATATTTTTTCTTCGAGTCTAAAGGTGTACGCCACCATTGTTGCTGGGTTATAAAAAAAATGTCGTTTAAGTCTTTGCCTAAGACATTTCGCTGCTTCGTTCCTTGTTTTTTTTTTCCTTTGCACTTGTGTCGTTTTCTATCATTACTCAAGGTTAACACTTTGTACGTTAAATTGCTTTTGGAATTTGCTCAGCGAGTACGAGTATGTGCGAAACGATGTCTTTTCTGCGAAAGTGGGTAAGTGTACAAGTGTTTGTACTTACACACACAAACACGCACACGTTCTCTTACACATATCCTTCAAAGCCTTCCTTTGCGCATCGTGTATCAGTAAGTTATTGTTATATGTCCCGTGTGATATTTGTGTCAGATGGTATTTAAGGCTTTAAACTGTTGCTGTGACAAATTATGTGCATATATATACATATGTAGGTATGTAGATATCTATGTAGGTTGAAAAGGTGGGGATTCTGCACACATCCAAATGAATTTGGCACTTGTCATCTAACGTGTATAAAATGAATCTTTGTGTAATTGTTTTTTTTTGGAATCCATAATAATGCAAAACGAGCGAATGGATGAAATGTTTACGTTTATAAAAGTCATGAGAGAATATACGGGATTAATGTGTTGTGGATTAATTGAGCAGGTGAGTGAACGTTTTTTTGGCCTCCACTTTTTCTCTTAATTATAACCAAATTGGTCGAATGTTGCTACGGGCTTCTGGAAAACCTTAAAGATGGAGTTTTCATTTACATTAGCGACATGTCAAATCATGTGCTAATATTGCCTATTTCTCGCTATACAAAAATCAACGTATAAATGGTTCGAAAAAGTTACTCGGATATTCAAAATATAATAAGTTGGAGATTGTGATTAAAACCTATAAAATGTCGAATGTCGTAGCGAACACTTATGAATATATATATTATTACGCTATGCTGCAAATTTTAATTTTATTAATAATTACAGGAAAAATCCAGTAGATTATAGATAAAATGGAAAAGGCTTTGCTGTGGCTTTAAAGGCGAAATCGCAAGGTGACATTAATATACAGAAGCTGTCGCCCTTTTCAATATTTTTATCAATTATAATATTTTTATTTTTAAATTTTGAACATTTCAAGGAATACGTGAATTTAAGCGAGAATTATGTTGGTTAATCGGGATCGTATAAAATGTCATGAAATTCTGCTATATTGCGTCCTCGCAACAACTACAATCGTTTCCATCTTAATATAAGGACAAAAAAAAAACTATTCCAAAAAGTAAATCCTCATAACCCATTTTTTATTGCAATGTTTCCTAAAATTAACAAAAGCTCTCCACAAAATGTCAAAATTTCACATTAAATATTGGAAAAAACAGGAAGAGAATAAAACAGCTACAAAGTCAAACGCCATCATTTTTTAAATTTTTTATATTTTCAAATTTTAGAATATGTTTAGATTTGTTTGAATTGGTCACCTTTGGCACGAATTATGGCCTTCAAACGGCCAAACACGTCACACCTGCCCGAATGTTGCTCTGTGGTATTTTGGCCCATTCCCGGTGAAGCGCTTGCTTGAGGTGATCGACACTTTTGTATTTTTTAGTTCCAGCCTTGCTTTCCAAAATACTTCAGACACAATAGTCTAACGAATTGATATCCGAAGATTTTGGTGGCCATTGTGAGCTGGAAATGAAGCGAGGAACCTCATGTTGTAACCATTCTTTGGTGGCACGTGCTGAGTGCTATGGCGCTGAGTCCTGTCTGCGACCAATATGTTTGTGTGTCCAAGGCTTTAATATACCCTTCACAATACTTTCGCGATTATAATCGGCATTTATTCTGATGCCACGGTCGATTAATACGAGCGGAAAGCGACCATCCGTTGTCACACCATCACCTTGGCCGGCGCTTGAGTTCTGGTGGCCAACCGAAGGTGCACATTTTTAACTGACCTCTTTGGCAAGTAAACACTATCATTTTGTTTGTTTACAAACTGCTGGACAACAAATGTTTTCTCATCGGAAAAATCAAATTCGGCAGTTCACCACTTTCAACCATGCGAAGCAGCTCTTTGTCTCTTTTGAGTCTATTTTCTTTCCGTTGCGGTGTAAGTTCGTGCACTTTTTGGAATTTCAATGACTTTACCCCGAGCTCAGTTTTCAATATTTTGCGAATGGAATATTGTGATATGTTCAGCTCACGAGCCATTTTTCGGGCACTGCGACGCGGGTATCGATCAAGTCGCCTCTGTACTTTTCGAATTATTTCTGCTGATGTTGCTGCTTTCTTCCGTCCACGTCCTTGACGTCGGCCTACGCAACCAGTATCACGGTAACGAGCGATGGTACGAGACACAAATGATTTATTCACATTTAAATGCTGGAGTGCTCTAACGATAGCCACTTGTGGTTTTCCAGCCAAATATAAAGAAATTACACTATCACGCTTGAAAATAAATATATGGAATAATTTTAACAGCTGTCGGACGAGTGGCTTAGAAATGACAGCAGTCTGAAGTTGGTTGCAGTTTTTTCATCTCAACCTGTATGCTGACTATTATTAGGACCAAACCCATTGAAATATCTGACAAAATTCATCAAAATGTCTAGTTCTAGAGAAATGAGTTAATACTTGGATCGATATGGACAATTTTGGGCTGGGGTGGATCATTCCGTAAAAAAATTATATCCAAAATTATGAAAATTCCGAATATCTGGTGGCAATTTTATATGAGGGCAATATACAGGTCTATTTACACAATTTTTCGTCACATTGACAAGTACATATTAAGAACTTAATAGATCGGATTCCACTCAAACCCATTGAAAAATGTGCAAAAATCATCAAAATACCAAATATAGATAGGTACCGTTATATGGGGGCTATACGATATCTCTTTCAGGAAGTAATGTACCCGAAATGAACTTTATTTGCAGAATTTCAAATCATTCCATTTGAAAATGTGGCTTCAATCATCAAAATACCGAATATCGGGAGGGACAATTATATGGGGACTATATGATAACATGACTTGCCAGTAGCGCAAATACTGGTCTGTGCAAAATTTTAGACGGACAAAAGTTATATTCGGCCGTTACTTTTTAATAGCCTCTACCACGAAGAAGCTTGCAATATGACCAAATCGACTATTGAATATTTTTAGAGATGAATTAATCTACCAACTAAGAACCCGAAATATCATATTAACGTAGATTTGATGGGAAGTTATGAAGATGATTTTTTTTAAATACCGAGAATCTGTTGTATATTTTTGCGAGGAGTAAATTTTTCGAAGGGTAGTAAACTTTAAATTGTTTTATGTAATTTTGATGGTCTATATTAGACCTTGTTACCAATATTAAATTCAAATTACCCACCGAAAAGTCGAAGCCTAAAAATATTTTCCATTCTAATACCTGCCATCCTAATTTAATGCAGGTCAAGAAAATATATACTATTTCGAAGTCTTGCAAACTGAATGACAAAATTAGTATACCACCCATATCATATAAATTCTGCCTTATTCTATTGAACAATATGTACCTAAAATGCTAACAAACATTTCACTTCAAATAATGCAATTCAAATTAAATTGCCGTACTTTCACTACAATGCGCAGGTTAATTTATCACACAGGCCATTTGGGGGAAATCTACAAAAGATATTTAAATTAATTACTTAATTAAGCAAACATGTAATTTAGTTACAATTCTATCAGTTCTGCATGTCATTCACTTCGAACCGCCACCCTACTGCCGCGTCCTCACCCTCTCTCTCTCTCGAAGTAAATTCTTTTATTGACTATTAAGTCGATAATTGATTGTTTCGAACAACGAACAAATGACAACGTTACGTTTCACATTTGAGCATTTAATTCGTAGCAGGATGACACGTAAACCGGAAACATTAAAACCAATTAACCGTAAACAACAATATCCGCCACGTCCTTTGTTGGAGGAATTTTCCATTCTATTTTACATTGGAAAAGTTATGGGAATCAATCCACAAGATTTGCGAGAATTCCGTAAATATCGCCGATTGGAGAGGTCTCAGACGGGCGATTTTTATTCGATAGTGGTCATCGTTAGTGTGGTGATGAATTTCAATCTAATGGTTTGGGTTTTCCACGATCCGGAATATTCGGTGGAAAAGGGTGAGTACGCAAAAGGTTCTTCCCATAATCCGGAATGCAATATTTTGTTCGAAATGCAATAGATGATAAAATGTTCAGAGTGGGACTGATTTTTACTTTGGGATATAAGAGAATCCTACTGCACCCTGACATATATTAATAAGCCTCTTCCTTTCTCTTTCTCCTTCACTTTTCACAGACAATCTCACAGTGGCAATCGGCTTCGTTCTAACCTACTTCAGTCTTTTCATATACTTGTCGGATCGCATTACTGGCCTGAGAAATCAAGATAAATTTATAGAACTGTTTGAAAATCTTCAAGAACTCGAAGAAGAGTTAATGGAACAGGGTATAAGATGCAACAACAACATCATCAAATATCGTGTCATATTTTTCATTATTATGGCCGCCATATCGGAAACACTGGTATTCGTCTTTACATTTGCATTTCTTGTCGATCGTGATTCTTGGTCGGCATGGCTGTGGACATTTACAGCAGTGCCTACATTTTGTAATTCTTTGGATAAAATTTGGTTTTTCGGCATTCTCTTAGCAATTAAGAAACGATTTGAAGCACTGAACAATGAATTCGATAACATCGCAAAGAAAATTGAAAATAACCTTCCGCTACAGAAGGAACGTAAACCGATAATATCAGCTTTTCGAGAGAACAAGGCGAACAAATTCAATCGCAAAATTCACGTACAACCGGTGTCGAAGACAGACATTCCTGGCATTTATTTGGGAGAAGTTATTCGAAACCATGCAGCGTTCGCACCCACAACGCCTTCGGTCAGAGAATTAAAATCAAGTTCGCCAAAACCTTCAATAATAAATGAGTTTGGCGTATTGGAGGATAAATTTGTTAAGCTTTGCCAATTGCACAACGATCTCTGTATGTTGGCCGTAGATCTAAATGATCTGTGGGCTTTTCCAATTTTAGCCCTAATGGGCTATGGATTCTTCATTATCACCGCCCAATTGTATTTTTTCTATTGCTCGAATGCAAGTCAGGTAAGTTGGAAAATAATTTCACAGCCAAGAGCTGAAAATCGTCGTTATGGACGAGTGTTGAAGGTCTGCTTATCTCTATAGAAGAGCGGGAGAACAGCTGGTCTCTACAGGCGAACTGGTGGTCAGGTAGTGGGGGCGCCGGCTAGTCTCTATAGACGAGCTGGTGGTCCAGCTAGTCGCTATAGACGAGCTGGTGGTCCATCTAGTCGCTATAGACGAGCTGGTGGTCTAGCTAGTCGCTATAGACGAGCTGGTGGTCCAGCTAGTCGCTATAGACGAGCTGGTGGTCCAGCTAGTCACTATAGACGAGCTGATGGCCCAGCTGGTCGCTATAGACGAGCTGGTGGCCCAGCTAGTCACTATAGACGAGTTGATGGCCCAGCTGGTCTCTGTAGACAAGCTGGTGGCCAAGCTGGTCGCTATAGACAAGCTGGTGGCCAAGCTGGTCGCTATAGACAAGCTGGTGGCCCAGCTAGTCGCTATAGACGAGCTTGTGGTCCAGCTAGTCGCTATAGACCACCTGATGGCCAGCTAGTCTCTATGGACCAGCTGATGGCCCAGCTGATCTCTATAGACGAGATGGCGGCCCAGCTGGTCTCTATAGACGAGCTTGCGGCCCAGCTGGTCTCTATAGACGACCTGATGGCCAGCTAGTCTCTATGGACCAGCTGATGGCCAGCTAATCTCTATAGACGAGCTGATGCCCCAGCTGATCTCTATAGACGAGCTGGTGGCCCAGGTGGTCTCTATAGACGAGCTGATAGCCCAACTGGCCAGCTAGTCTCTATAGACGAGCTGACGGCCCAACTGGCCAGCTAGTCTCTATAGACGAGCTGATGGCCCAACTGGCTAGCTAGTCTCTATAGACGAGCTGATGGCCCAACTGGCCAGCTAGTCTTTATAGACGAGCTGATAGCCCAACTGGTGTCTATAGACCAGCAGATGGTCAGCTAGTCTCTATAGACGAGCTGATGGCCCAACTGGTGTCAATAGACCATCAGCTGGCCAGCTAGTCTCTATAGACGAGCTGATGACGGCCATATAGGTCTAGCTAGTCTATATAGAGGTGGACCGTTATGGGCGTACTGATGGACCACGTTATTTTATGACCTGAAAGCCGGAATTATTTTCTCTTTTTTTTGTAGATTGTTTTGAAATCTTATAACTATTTTATATTGGGTATCTTTATAGGTAATCCCTTCATTGTTTCGCCCGGCCAGTAATTTGGCTATTACAATAATATACCTATTCTATGTGGCAGTAAAATGTATTAGCATTTTATTGCTGAGTTGGCTAACTACAGTGGAATCGAAGAAAACTGGAGTATGTATTCATCGCTGTGCCCTGGCAGCTGATAAAAATGAAGTATATGAATTGGTAAAAAATACACAACATAAAAAATATTCGATATCTTTTATAACAAAACGTATATCATTTTCAGGTCAACCATCTATCTCTGAAGCTCTTCAATCATGTGACCAGTTTCAATGCTTGTGGCTACTTTTCATTGGATATGGATACTCTGTTTGGAGTAAGTCTCTCTCTCTCTCTCATTTGGTTTTTATATTTTTTGTTGAATATTTTTCTTAGTTTTGTGGCGGAATCAGCACATATCTCATTATTTTGATACAATTCAATATCGAACAGCAACAGGTGAAATCAGCTTCGGGTAGCAGCAAATCGACGTCGCCGGAATTAATTCGCAACGAGTCTCTATCGAATACCCTACCACACAATATAACGTCGTTATTCGTAAGACTATTCCAATTGGATGGAGATTTTACCACTGATACCCTCTACTAAATATTTATTGAAAATGGAATTACTTATGTGTTGCAGTTTTACTATTTTTTTTTGGTCATTTCCACTCACTAATAAATATGTATCTTTAATTTTCTCTTAAATTGTAGAAAATATATAATTTCAGATTTCCTCACATCTGAAATACGCACCACATAAAAGGAGAATCGATTATCGAAAGGGTGGAAATCACATCGACATATAATGAGGAATAATTTTGTTTTCATAAGTCACTGCCTTCAATGGTCATTTCGTCACCTTTTTCTTGCACCGTAGCATATATCAAGATGAGATAATTAAGAATAGATCAGATCAACAACGGTTTGAAGAGATGCCATATTTAAGAGAAACAAGTTAAATAGAACAGCTGAATACCCTCAGCCAATGTCGGGTTATTTATATATATTTCAGCTTGCGTTACGGTTATTCAAATTGTTGACCCTTCATAGGAGAGGTTCTGAAGGAGTGGTTTCATCTGACATAAGTCTGATAAAATACTAAAACGCATTAGTTTTGGATTTTTTATGGACCACTTCCCTCACTTTATATGAGATATTTTATAATTTTGCATGAGGTGCCTTATTCAGTGGACCGGGGTAATCTACCTCATCTAATGCTACTGAGTGTGCAAAATTTAAGAAAATCCCTTTATTGTTGTTTTTATTAAACAACGTTTGTTTATTACTGGAGAACGATGGTAATATTTACCAGGGGGTAAGGCAGGGAATACCTAGGTTTCGGAAGGAGCCAGCAATCCTCATCAGTTCCCTTTTTTTGTCTGGGATATCCTCCCCAGAAGTTATTTTAAAAATAACTTCTATGACAAAAAAACTTTTTTACCCAAGTAACGAGATCGTAAGCTTAATAAAAGAGAAACGAAGAGGTATTCCCTGCATTATCCCCCTGGTAAACATTACCATCGTTCTCCACTAATAAACAAACGTTGTTTTATAAAAACAACAATAAAGGGATTAAGCCTGTTCATTTTGAAACAACAAAATCTAAAATTTTCACAATTTTATGCGATTAACTGTTTCTAAAGTTATGAGAGATATATGTAATGACAATTATTACCCATTGTGGGAGGGATATCAGAAGGAGTAGGCCGATATATTTTAACTTCACACAAGGTCTTCAAAATGTTTTTCCTTTGTGGCGAGGTACAAGAATGTGTGGGGCGATATCTCTTATTTACACACCAGATATTATTTTGGAAGAAATATTGGGATGTGTGAAACTGAAGAAAATCAGGTAATTATTTTGCTTTTTATGAGCGTTTTGTTATTCAAAATTTCGACCCCTTTTGTGGGGGAAGTACCAGATGGAATTGACCAATATATCCCATCTTCACACCAGATCTTGTATTGGTAGAAATATTGAGATGCTCGAAATTTGAAGATAACCAGACTCTTATTTCACATTTTATAAGAGTTATAATATTCAGAATTTTCACCCAATGTGGGGGAGGTGTCAGAGAGATAGGTCCAATTTCTACCATATTGACAACAAATCTTGTGTTATAAAATATTAGGGTGTGTCAAATATGAAAAGTTATATGATGCTTATTAAAAATTTTGTTAGAAATATAGTTATTCAAAATTTTGACCCGTTGTAGGAGAGGTATCAGAAGGAGCCGTCCGATATATTCCATCTTCACAAAAGATTTTGTATTAATTTCGCTATTTGTTAACTTCACGGGTATTCAATATTTTGAACCGTTGTGGGGGAGGTTCCAGAAGGAATTGGCCGATATATCCCACAGCAGGTCTTGAATTGGTAGAGATATTGAGATGGGCGAAATTTAAAAATGACCAGACTCTAATTACACATTTTAAAAGAGTTATAATTATTAAAAATTTGGAACCGTTGTGAGGGAGGTACCAGAAGGAGTAGACCGATTTAGCCCACCATCACACCAGACATTGTGCTGTTAAAAATATTACAATGTGTGTAATTTGACTCTGATTTTACATTTTATAAGACTTATAATTATTCCAAATGTTGACCCTTTGCGGGGGAGGTACTTGATGGAGCGGGCCGATAGTGTCAATTTTCACACCTGATCTGGAACTAATTAAAATATTGGGAGATGCAAAGTTGGTGCAAAATAGGATGATCCTTTCTTTTCCTAAAAAGCAAAATATTTTATTTGAAAATTTCGAGCTTTTTGTGGAGGAGGTTCCAGAAAGAGTGGGACGATATTACACATCTCTAAACTCGATCTAAATTTGACAATAATATTATAATATACCAAGTTTGGACGAAATCGGATACTCCCTTCAAGAGTTTTCGTGCTCACCAGCCACACAGACGGTAACGCTTATCGACTCCAAATGGATTTGGAAATAGGTTTAGCCCAAAGAAAACTAGGGTCTTAAACCTTTATTTTGATGAGGCTCGTTTTGGTCGTATCAAATGATATATATCCTCTCTAGCCATATGGCTGAGGGTATGCTTTAGAGACTGTTACCTTTGAGACGATTAATTGGTATCGCATAATTCTCAACGCTCTTAAATGGGAACATTGCCAAATGGTAGCATAATTTTTTACGTTTATTTTTAGCTAGGAGCGTTTTTCCAAACCTAAAACCTAAATGGTGTAATAAACCCCAAACATACCTCTATAAGAAAGAATACCAAAAACTAAGCTTCTTTTCATTATACCATTTCTAATTTGTTTGAAAAATGTAAATAAAAGCAAGCTTGTTATAAATCAAGTAATTCGATATTGGAATACAATGACCATCAAACAAAAAAGCACCAATTCATTCAAATGTTTAGAAAATTTATGATAAATTGTAAATTGTTGCGCTTTTTACGACAACAATGCCAAACAATAACAATTTATGATAGAATCTTACAAAAAAAGTCCATATTTTTTAGGTTTCATGTTCAAGAACTCGTATTACCTTCTGTGGAATCCAAGTAAAAAAGTAGGAAAATCAACAGACAATAGAAAGAAAAGCAAACTAAGGAAAAATCCACAATAAATAAGCTTGTTTATTGTTCATCAGCCAGTATTCATTACCAGATACCAGTTTTAAAAGCCACACAAAGATAATGAACTTCCAAAAAAAAAATGGATGTACTTTTGTTATATGGATGTCAGTCACAGACGACCATTCGAATCTGGCTAACAATTTGCGACAAATGAGACTGGCAAAAGAAAAACAATGAAAATTAAAAAAATTATTGTCATAATGGAAGCTTCAATATTACGACTGGGTAAGATATGGTGACCGAAATAAATGAAACATAAGTCAAATGTATAAAATGTGAGGGAATTCAGTGGTTTTGCATAAAAAGTGAATTTAACGAGTTTAAATGGCGACAGACATATACCCTCATCTTTATGACCATCTAGACGATTAGGTCAGTACACCACCAACCGAAAGTACTTATTCAAGCTTAGATTTAGGAAAATTTCTTACATTTTAAAAATTACGTGATAGAAACTGATAAATTACTAAATTTGGTATTGAGTGAATGTATAGAGCTGTAATCCCGAAATCTGATATTGAGGTCTCTGTTGGTATCTAGTGGTGGTTTTGTTATTGTTTGAAAGGTACTAAATGGTACTAGTTTACGATCACTTTTGGTGTCTAGGATAGAAAGATGTACAGGGTGCGATAAAAAAAATTGCAACCAATTTCAGACTGCTATCATTTCTAAGCCACTCGTCCGACAGCTGTTAAAATTGTTTCAGTGACAGTTCATTATATTGTTTACAAGCGTACAAAAGCATTTTGGTGAGAATTTTCCAAAAAAAAATAATATATGTGGAAGCTATAGCTATATCTGAAGCGATCTTCACCAAATTTGACATACTAGCTTCTAGACTCAATTCGGTCGTAAGTGCCAAATTCCATTCCATTTGGACAAATATTAGACGTTTGGTGCACAATAAAAGGTAAATCGGACGAAGTTATATATGGGAGCTATATCCAAATCTGAACCGATCTCGATAAAATTTAGCAAAAGTATTTCTGAGATGTATTTGATATATTTCCCCAAATATTGTTGTTGCAGGGTGCATATTACGGCAGCGGTGGACAAAAATAACAAATCGGATGAACAATATATATGGGAGCTATAGCTATATCTGAACCGATTTCGATCAAATTTTGCATACATATTTTCAGGCCTAATTTGCAAAATTCCATACAATTCGGGCTGATATTACACGTTTGGTGCACAATAAAAGACAAATAGGACGAAGATATATATGGGAGCTATATTTAAATTTTGACCGATTATCTCCAATTTCAATAGGGTTCGTCCTTTGGCCAAACAAATGATCTGTGCAAAATTTCATCTGGATCGGACAATAAATGCGACCTGTACTTTGTTTACAACAATACATGAACAGACGGACGGACGGACGGACATGCATAAATCGACTCAGAATGTGATTCTATGCAGA